TTTTCCTAAGTTATTGTCAGAGGCATTTACTACCTACTGTACTTAAAAAAAAAAAAAAAAAAAAATCAGGTCAGTTCAGGCATAACCGCCTCTAATTCCTTGATTTCTACCCCAACATTTACCCACTGCTTCCGGCTGGCTAGATCCCCATCCTGTAATCATCAGCACCACCTACCATGTCCCAGGCCCATTATCTCATTTAATCTTTTCAACAGCTCTGAGGGAGACATTATCACTCTCTCCATCCTACAGATGTAGAAACTGAGAGAACAGAGCCTGCACTTTAACACTACGCCATCGTTTTCTATAGGCATCCAGCCTATCCAGGACTCACCTCTTAAAGCACTTGACAACGAAAGAGAAATTACGGCAAACTCTAGAAGGGGATGCCTGGCGCATGAAGCAGAGCTCTGAACACATAAGGTGATATTTAAAATTGAGGGTGGAATCGTTCAACGTAGGCTCCTTTCCTTGGTCAACGCGCGTTTATTTTCATACAACATGGAGTCAAACTACAGGCGCGTAGAGACGAGTACACTAGGAAGCCGAGCTGGCAGCTCGCGACAAATGCCCTGGCTAGACTCTCCTGGGACAGCCGAGCAACGCCCTTGCAGAAGAAATGACATCAGCTACTCCCGTATTAGTCCAGATGTGTATTGGGCCTTACTCAGGGAAACATTTACTGAAGCCTGCAAGCATTAGTGTATTGCTCCCATTCACCGACTTTCTGACGTAAATACTATGAACTATCCCATTTTACTTAGGAAGCAACTGAAGTTTAAAAAGGTTAATTCCATTGCCCGGCGACGCGCAATCAGGGGAGAGGATTCTAACTCAGTAATCTGTGACTCCAGAATGCAACTATCACTTGCATACCCTCTGCTTCCCAAAACTCTCCGGCCTCCATTTCTCCCTTTTCTCACATTTCTAAATTCAAAACGATTTTGGAGTGAAAGGGAGCAGCAGCCGAGGCAGGAGGATACAAGGTGGTCAAAGTCCTCCAAGAGCGTCTTCCCTGGCGGCCCCGCTACCCAGGGCTGCGTGCGAGTCCCAGGGCTTTTTCAGAGGTCCCCAGACCCCTGCGTGGCGGCCCCTCCCTGAGAGCACCCGGTTACCGTGACTGAACGGCGTTCTGCGGCTCCAGGCCTCAGCCACCTGCTTTTTCAAGGTTTCTTCCGTAACAGCGTCCGAAAACTCCGCCATCACCTCCTTCTTTCCCTTTTTTCCCACCCGGGCTGGGCCAGGGTCCGCTGGCCGCTTCCCATTCATCTCCTCCCAAGGTACAGAACCACGCCACACTGATCAAGACGCTACTTTCCTGAGGGGACTACAATTCCCGGCATGCCCCCTTTACTGTGTTGCTAATGGGAATCACCAAAGTAAGAGGAGGCGGAACCTATACCCGGTTTACCAATGGGAGCTCCAGCTATTGCAGCCATCCCACCAGCTATTGGCCCAATGGCGCTCGGTCTGGCAGGCCACCTCCTCTCTACTTCCTGCCGCCAGAGGCTCCGGGTTCACTTCCTGCGTGCCTACGCCTCCTCTTGCGCTCTCCTGTTAATGGCGGGCGGTAGCCGCTGAGGGGGTTGCAGATAACCGCTTCCCGCACCGGGAAAGTCTCCCCTGCCTCCCACTTTCTGCTCGCCGCCAGTGCCGGAGCTCGCCAGCATGTCTGTGGTACCGCCCAATCGCTCGCAGACCGGCTGGCCCCGGGGGGTCACTCAATTTGGCAACAAGTACATCCAGCAGACCAAGCCCCTCACCCTGGAGCGCACCATCAATCTGTAAGTGCGGGGCGGCCTTGGCGGGCATTTCTCTCGTGAGCGCTTCTACAGACTCTCCAGCGCGTCCCCGGCTTTTCGGCGTGCTTCACGCCTCCGCACCTCCCAGCCTCCGACTCCCGCTGGCGGATGCGCGCCTTCCTCGCTCCCTCAGGCCCTTCTCCTCCTCCTGCCTCCGGGAGTTAAGAGTCCTTTTCTGTAAAGGAAGGCTTGTTCCCATCCTATGTATTCGGTCATAATGGGGAAAAACGGAGTTTGCTTTTAACTCATCCTTTCCCCACCTCTCCAGAGGTAACCAACTTCAAAATGTGTGTGTGTGTGTGTGTGTTTTATCCTTCCAGTGAAATGTTTATGCTTTGGCATCACGTATATGGTATTGCTTTGTGATTGTTGATGTGATACGAATGGTATAACCTAGTATCATTTTTGCACATTTCACTCTGACAGTAAGCTTTCGAGATCCAGCTGTAATGCCTAGGTCTAGTTTTTTTCCTTTTAATTGCTACTTAAATATTTCGGTTTATGAATACAACACATGTTATTCATGTGCTCAGGGCTGTCTGCCCTGCCCCATGCCTTATGCCTTCGCGTCGTCTGATGATGTCTCAACGCCAGCATCCCAGGCACCCCAAGTAGGCCCCTCCTTGGGAGTAGGGATGCTGCTATGGTTGGGCTTTCAGACTGGAGGGAACCAGAATGTTTGTACCAGAAAACCCATTGTGGGCTGTGTTTTATTTTCAACACCTTTCCGTTTCGACACTTGAAACCATTGCATTTCAAGGTCACTCTCAGCAGCAGACTCGCTGTAGCAGGTAATTGACGTTTGAGGTGTCTGAAGAAATTGTCAGTAATGCTTTTTAAAATCGTGTCTGAGGATTTGTTTTCGAGGCAGCGTGGTGCCTCTATTTTCCTGATGGAGGAAAGTGGCCAGTTTATGCCAGTCTGTGTACAAGTGCAAGGATTTGGTGGTATTGATGTTTTCGTAAGGCAGTTTAGGTGTTTCTCTTTTTTTTTTTTT